GCATTCCTGAGAGGTGGGGAGAGGCCAGATACCGTGCTATCATATTAGAGAGGACGAAGTGAAGGACAGAGAGATTAGCCGATTTGCCCCCTTAATTATGCAGTGAGCTAGAGAGGGAGCCAAGAATTGAATCCAGATTTCTCAAGTCCCAGGGGGATTTCTTTTTTCATCAGGAGGTCTTGCCACATTCCTTCCTTTGGAACTGGCCCCTCTCTGGATCCCAGAACCACATACCTGGGTTTGAGTTCATGAGTGTGTGTGTCTGTGTTACACTCTCTGCATTATACTGATTCTTAAAAAGGAAAAAAAAATCTTAGAAAATGGTCAAATTGCTTAAATGTTTTTAACTACATTTATTTTTCAGTAAATTTTGACTTGACACATCCAGAGCCCAAAAGGAAGAGAGCTCTTCAGATTTGACCCAAGCATTTCTATCCAGAATAATTTGCATATAAAAGCTTTGTGCTCATTATTAATGCTAAAAGGAATTTTCTTTTCCAGTCAAAAATCTGAGGATAAAATTTACATTTATACAATCTGGGACTAGGAAGGGAAAATGGCCATTCAGAAATTTCCATAGGCAACCCTCCCCACACAGAAGACACGTTTAAGACACTCTTTAGAGCCCACACCGTGGGCTTTCACCACTAGAGGGCTTGACCTCAATTACACAACTGTACAAATACAGTGGTTAACCAGTTCCAGATTTTCAGGCAAAGTTAGTTTACCAACAAAATACATTACCAAAGATTACTGATAGTGTTGACTTTAGATATATATCTCTGTTCTATGAACACTCCCCCACTAAATTCTTTAATTTAGAAGTATGAACAAGAGAAACTAGTCAGTTTCTAAACTTCCATTGAACTGGTTACTGACCACATCATTTCTATTTTGGTTACTCTTTTTTTAAAATTTTATTTATTTCTTCAATGATCAAGAAAGACAGGGAAGAAAAGTCACCCCCAGCATTTAGCCAGCCCTGCATGGTAAGCAGCCCTGCATGGTGAGCAAGCATGTGCCCAGCACACTCAGAGAGGTCTCTGGACTTGAACCAGGAACCTTCCATGTGGGGTTGTCTTGCAGGGTATTGTGTTTTACTGCTGCAAAACCATCTGGCCCCAAAGGTTACTGTTTTGCTATCGTCTTGCCTGGTGTCCTCTGCCCAGCTCCTTTAGCTCAGCCTGGATTTTCTTTGCAAACAGAAACAGTTTTCTCTTTAATGTCTTCTTGTGCTGGTGGGCAGAGGGGTGTTAGGTATTCTTTTCTTCAAAGAGCTGAGAAATTCCTTAATGCAAGACACAGCTTGCTGGTTTGTCAATTGGTCATTTCTCCTTTCCTTCCTTCATTTATTT